ATCATTAATTGATGGTTAATAATGGTTAACATTAATTGATATATCCACTATTAATGGTTAATAATGACTATTGGAGGAGTACCCATCATTAATTGATGGTTAATAATGGTTAACATTAATTGATATATCCACTATTAATGGTTAATACTGACTATTGGAGGAGTACCCATCATTAATTGATGGTTAATAATGGTTAACATTAATTGATATATCCACTATTAATGGTTAATAATGATCCATCATTGATTTAATAATGGTTAATAATGATATGGCCCACAAAATATGGCCAAAAAGATGGTACCAGGGGTACCTCCAATCAATCGGATCCTGGAATGGCCATTGAAATGGGGCACTTTCTTGACAAACCAAAGTATCAGAATCGTTTTTCACATTTTTCCCATCAAACTTGTCAGTTTTTGGTGCTACCGCAATGTTGGACATTGGGCCACATTTTCTTCTCCCCAGTAAACCAACATAGCTATGGAAAATGGTCCATTTCGATGGTTTACCTCTTGGGGATGGGTCAAGTCAACTTACCAAAAAACCGAATGAGAGAATTTTCTAAAGATCCAAAGTCACGATTTAAAGTTCCCATCTGCCAGGGTTTTGACCCATAACCATTAGCTGATGATTTCCCATCACAAAAATTGATTTTCGAAGCCCGGGCACAGTCTTCAACTCGACCTCCTTCTCTTTGGACGCCTGGGACAAGTCGTGACTGGGGTCAACCCATTGCAGGAAGTCATGGCTTAAACGTGATATTCATGGCAGAATGAGATGATCACTGTGGAAATAACTTACTTCGGGAATCAATGGAATCAATGAAGATCCCATTTTTATGGTGGATGAACATCAAGTAAATGATGATTATCATTAGATATCATGAGATATTGTGATAATATATTTTGATATAGAGGTTTCCGAAAATGGGGGGGTACCCCTAAAAAATCATTGATTTTCATAGGATTTTCATAGGATTTATGAAAACAAGGTGTCTTTCAAGGCGTTGTTTTCACCAAAACGAAGAGACGGTTTCACCGATGGCAGATGGGTAACCTGGTGACTCGGCCTGGTTTTTAAATCCATGGTGGATCTGAAAAAGGGGCAGCTTCCTTCAAGGTGCTTCCCCCCCAGTGATAAATGGATTCTCCCATTCAGAAGGAACCAGATATATCGTCTATAGATGATATATCTATATAAATGGATAATCCAATATACTCTGGGTATCTATAGATATAGAATATGAATGGTTTATTCATCTATAAATATATCATCTATAGATATATCATCTATAAATCAGCCTGTGACATTGGACTTATAAACGCACAAAAACGAATCGCGTTCACGAACTGAGGCACCACCCTGTTGAATTCCATCCTACCCACCGAAATCCAATGGTTTCAGTGGGGGTTTCATGAACTTCGGCACCTTATCCACAGCCGAATCGGACATGAACTTCGTGTATTCACCAAGGCTCTGAGCCTCCGGAAAATGGTTGGAAGGTTTTGGGGGTGGGTTTTTGGGGGAAAATCCTCGAAAAATCAGAAACATCACTAAAATCTAATAAAGAGAGGAATCATTTTGTCATTTCTCTTTCTTTTCATGTTTATAGTTTTCTTGTTTGTATTTGGTTGAAAACCGGGTCACCAAGCTCATGGAAGAAATGTTATTTTCATGGGTCATCTTCGATACGAAGGCTAAGCAAGAGGGCTCACAATTTTGTTACTGGAGTTGGTAAAAACATGTCAAACAAGTTCAACTAAATTAGGATTATCGGAATATCTTATCTAAACAAAAAAGTTGGCTAAGACATATTTCCAGGTTTGGATGTCAAAGCCAAAGTATGATTATCAGAAAACAACACTTTGAAAGGCTGCCTATACGTTTGTTGATGGTGATACAGCGTGGTTCAAGTGGGCACTACTAATCACGTCCCAGTATCAACAACCCCCTGAAAAAACCCTGGTTGGAATATTGGATCTATTCATTTGCAATACATTTTATTACAGAAAACGAATTAGATATGGAGGTGTCCTAAGTCATGGAGGTATCCCGAAATCATTAAGTCATGGTCAGCATCCATGACTTAGTGAAACAACCAAGGTGACGACTAGGGATCCCCCATGACTTACGACTTGAAAGCTTGGCCCACCTCGGCCGTTTCAGTTTCACTCTCCATACGGACGAAATCTGCTTGTAGCACCTGGCAGGACCCGTGAAGTATATTGGAATCTGGGTGAAAGGAATCGGAATATGAATATTATGGTAAATTCATGGTAAATTTACTATCATGAAGTATATGGTGTATATAATCATGATAAAACGTGATACACCAATTTACTATCATGGGAAATCATGGTAAATTGGTTGTTACTAACGTTGTTACATCACTCCAAAGCAATCATGGAGAATTTCATCGACATTTGGGACATTTTGGGATCCAAAAAATGGGCGCCTCCAAAAGGGCAGTGACAGCACCACTGTCCATGCCAGTGTAGCTATCCTCAAAGATCTCTGGAGCTCCAACCTCCAGTGCCCGTACCCTCTGGAAAATCACCATTTTTCATGGGTAAATCCACTATAAATCACAATTTTCCATGAATTTCCAGCGAGAAAATGGGCGCGTAAAAAAAACTGAGGAGGCGACGGGTGTTTGCAGAAGAGATGCCTGCGAATCGTGGAAGTCTTAGCAGTCTCACCATCTTTATCAACTGATTGACTGATTGGTAATCATGGTAATCTTAATTGATTCAGAGTTTTTCGTAATCTTAATTGCTAAAGCATCCCAAGAATCAAAACCTCTGACCCACTGATCTGCTTATTCTTCGGTCTCGTTTGTCCAAATCCTCCAGAGACCCTCAGCTAATCTTAGATACTCGAAAATGGTGAATAGTTGGTGAGACACAAGAAATGATGATTATCATGAGATATCATGAGATATTTTGATATATATATAGAGGTTTCCGAAAATGGGGGGTACCCTCTGGTAAACTAATATAACTATGGAAAATCACAATTTTTGATGGGAACATCCACTATTTCTATGGTCATTTTCAATAGCTTTTTGTTTGTTTACCAGAGGCTACACCATCATATATCCCATTAAATCCCATTAAATCCCATTAAATCACCATTAAATCCCATTAAATCACCATTAAAACACATTAAAACACCGAAAATGGGCGGCGCCCCTAATAAATCATCGATTTTCATCGGATTGAATCCCAGCTGGCCCAGGCACCTTCGCTTTGGCACGTGAGTAGAAACTATCCAATGCAGCAGTGGCCTCGACACGGAGTTTCTGAGATGTACCGACTATGGTAGAAATTTCATGGGGATTTTATAGGTTTTCATCACTCATTTCATGGTGATTTCATGGGAACCACTGAAAAAATCGTGATTTCATGGGGATTTGCGGTGATGATTTCACTCAAAACCTCCATGTCTGTTAAAGGTGGACCTCCTATGGCCACGTTTGATTACTGGACTGCGAGGAAAACCAAACGATTACAGTTTGCTCGATTAGGTGTGGGCTTTGAAGCAGCCTTTCAAACAATGTTCATTCCGATTTTTGTGCGTGTCTGAAAATAGGGTATCGCCAAATTGAATGCTTTTGACAAGCCTTTCCCTCCCTGTTTGATAGCGTAACTTGGGCACTCAAGGTTTAGACCCATCATATCCTATTCTTGACAAAACATCCCACTAGAAATTATCACCCCATGATTATCCAAGTACCATTCCGTTGTCATTCCCACTATTTTTCCATTAATATCACCTTAATCGTTAGTTTGCCGACATTTCGTTGGTTGTCCCACTATAAATACTCATCATCCTGTCATTATCCAGCCGTGTTACCATATTCCATTCTAGTTCCCAGCATAAACTCACTAGAACCCCATTTATTCCCATGGAATTTACCCTCTGGTTATTTAACAGTTCGCCATGGTTTTTCGATGGCCCTAATCGAAATAGATGGTTTACCGAACTTAAAAATGGTGGATCTTTCCAGTTCGCAAACTGTTACCATCTGGTTATTTAACATAGCCATGGAAAATCACCATTTTTAATAGGTAAACCATCTATAAATGGGCCATTTTCCATGGCTATGTTAAATAACCAGATGCTACCCCATCATCCCGCCTGGGCAATGGCCTTCTGCGCATCCTGGGCATCTTTGATGGTGGCCTTATTCTCCACCTGGCGGAGTTACCAAGACATATTGGGAGATGTTTTTTTTAAGGATTATACCATGATGAACCAATATTAACCATGAAAAATAGGGATTTAACCATCAAACATGATTCAAGATGCATAAATCATCATTCTATACCAGTAAGATTGCATATAACTCATCAGTTGATGATATTTTATCACTATCGGTCTTTATCACTATCGGTCTTTAATTTATCATCATTATTCCATATAATGTGGGTAAAACTATGTCATAAACAATCCCCCAGTCATCGTCATTTTTTAAAGGTGGTATATATAAACCATTCCCATGGGTGGTTTATTAAACCAATGTTTTACTCACATTATACCATGATTCACCATGAAAAATAGGGATTTCACCATGAACACCTTGGCTTTGAACACTGAAAAATGACGATTCAGATTGCCATCCTGGTCTTCAATGGCAATGGAAACGCGACAAGTCGCGCTCGCTCGATACCCGAGATATGGTGAAAACCATCAGGTTTTGCCAATTTTTTTTCAGGAGTCCCATGATTCCAAATAGCACCATACGCATCCACCATGGAATCCCATTGATCCCACCCACCATGGCCTCTCATCGCCCTCCTTTTGAGGAAAAACCACCATTTGTTGAACAAAATCCTACCCTCCAGTAAATTAACATGACGACCCTGCCAGTCATCGGGGTTGGAAGATGAGTTTCCATTAAAAATTGGTTATTTTCAGGGTCTATGTTTATTTGCTAGAGGGTAAATTATCCCAGGTTTCCACATCGGTATGTAAAAACCGGCTGACCATCCCATGAATCCCTCGGTAGTCGAGACCTTCTCATTCTCGCGGAGTTTCGTCGCAGATTCACGATCTTTCGCCAGGCTGGCAATGTCCTGCGGCTGGTGGGCGATGGAACCTTGAAAATTGCTGGCGAATGGATGTTTGGCAATCATAGGTACCCTCTGGTAAACTAACAGTTTGCTATTGAAAATTGCCATTTATAGTGGATTTTCCCATTAAAAATGGTGGACCTTTCCATAGCTATGTTAAATTACCAGAGGGTAACTTGACCCATCAACCAAGAGAAACAAAACACCAGAAAATCCACAGTGGTAAATCACAAAAAAACCTCCCAAATCTCATCGTTTTGCCTGCCAAAAGTGACTAATGCTGTCAATGAAATCTCCATTCTTCATAGTTTCATCCTACATTTCGGTCACTTTAAATCATAGTACATCCTCAGTTTCTTTGGTTAAAAATCCACATTTTTCATGTTTATGTGGCTAAATCCTACTTGTTGATGCTTAAATCAACAAAATTTGATAGTGAAATCCATATTTTTCATGGTTAAATCCTCCGGTCCCGTCAGCATTTTTGTCACCCCCCCGGTCCTTCTGTAAGCTTTCCAAGTCATCACCCAGCTCGGTGATGTCGATTTTCAACTGGTTGACCCTGGGCATTGCCGATGTTTGAACCATGGCCATCCATGGGGGGTTTCTTAACACGGGGGATCCCCAAAACCATAGCTTTCAATACTGTAATGGTCTAATTTTGGATGATTTGGAAGGTACCAGCCATTTTAGGAAACCTCCATATACATATACATGTATTTACATATATATATATATATGTATGATTTTGTATGTATATGCATATGGATATCAATTTATCAATATCGTTTTTTTTGCTTTTGCTTTATCATGTTCGCTTGACATTAAGATACGCTACATATGCGTATGTATATATATATATTTATGGTCATATATGTCTATATGTATGTATATGTATATATGGCAATGATCTTGTACATAGCAATTTAATGTAGATAAACATTTATGCAAATCTCTTCATATGCATAACAGTTATCCCTGATGATCATCCCATATAGAGAGAGGAAAACATCGCACCCGACCCATAAAACATGGTTGTTCATCTTTCCATAGGTTTTTTGTGAGAGTTTACCAGAAAGTAAATCATGGAATTACCCTCTGGTGAACTAACATAGCAATGGAAAGATCCACCATTTTTAATGGGAAAATCCACTATTTCTATGGCAATTTTCAATAGCTATGTTAGTTCACCAGAGGGTAACAGGAATCATTCGTCATTTCATCCCGGTTGGTTCATCCATGAATCCCTCAGGAAAAGCCCACCAAACAGACAGCAATTTTCCGAATCGGCGATGCATGATGATCTAAAGAAATAACCATTGGATTTATGGGAATGTTGGATGGGTTTATGGGAATTGAATCTAGAAATCTGGATTTGGGAGAGGATCAAGCCATAGTAATCCACTGTTCACACAGGCTTTCAGTGGTGCTTCTTGGTTCACATCCTAAAAACCAAAGGCTATACCATCATATATCCCATCAAATCCCATTGAATCCCATTGAATCGCCATCATATATCCCATTAAAACACCATGTTTTGTGTGTAAAAACCAGAGGTTTTTACCATCCAAAACCGTGGGATTCACCATTTTCTGATGCTTGGCGATGATCCTCTGCCAAGAATTTTGAACGAAGCGGCGCAGAAAAATGCGATGATCAGAGGGTACATTGATCACCCAAAAATCAGAGATTTTCTGCAGTTGAATATACTATTGATCTATTGATCTGACTGAGTTGGAATAATTCATCAACGTTCGCTGAAAATTTTGGGATGCACTCAATCCAAATTCCATCATTTACACGTTCCGGTGAGGTTGTTATATTTAATTCAGATAACCCCCATATCATCCCCATTCATCCTCATTCAGCATGTTTGTTGCTTACACCAACATTTTTGTTGATGAAACCACAACAATTGTTGGTCCAATCACCATTTTTCATGGCTAGTTGGCACCACTTTTCCTGGTGGAATCACCGCTGGTGGTGCGTTTTGTGCCCATCTGGAAAGATGATGGAGAGAAAGTCAATGGGTTTCGGATGACATCCCATATATGACATGGAAAATAAAAATCAGGTTTGAAATCACCAGCCAGCTATAGAAAATTCACCCACATCCTACCTCCCATATAATATGTATGGAAACTCATCCAGTCATGTTTGAAACCACCAAAACCATCAACCAGACAGATTGTGATGGTGAAATCGGTGAAATCCCGCCATGTTTTCAGGTCCAATTCATGGCCAAGCAGCCAGATGCCCTGCAAAAAATGGACCAAATTCTTTGCTGGTGAACGTAGTAGTAGATATTCCCAGCCAGATACCAAAAGACTAGTTAGATTAACGGTTAGTAGGTCAAGCTATTAATACCAAAAGACTAGTTAGGATTAGTTTGTATCCATCCAGCAGATTGACCTAGCAACCAGTATTAATCATTAACCATGATTAACCCATTCAAAATGGTGATATTACCATTAAACCAACCATTTTACAAACAGTTTCCAGTTTTTTTTTAATCATCCATTAACCATCCATTAACCCTGATATACCAGCAACATATATAGCATATATAGCCTATATAGCTATGATTGACCTAGAAATCACTCACAGATTGAGGACGGGACTCGCCCTGCACCGTGTCCACGAGTTCCTTCTTACTGCTCCGAGTCTGACCCTGTGCGAGCTGGCGAGCTGTTAACACCAGAGGCTAACGGATATAAGAGAACACTGCCAGTTAATGACATTACATAGTTATGATATATATATATTATATTATATATATATAAATAAATAAATGTATTATATATATATACAGATATTTTTTCGACCTGCAGCACCTGCAGCTTGATTCCCCAGAATTGATGCAGAACAGAGTTGGTTTTCATCCAAGCGAAGAACCATCTACCGAGTCAGAAATGGGGAATGGGCCCCTAACATTTTTGTCCGAAACACAGGCTTTTCTACATCTAAAGCATTGAGTTTAGTAGGGCTGCCCTATTTTTGGACAAGCATCCTTTGAGATCCCACAGATTGCAGCAAGAAATGCCTACAGCAGCCAGTATAAACATTGGAAAAACCACACACTGGGCATAAGCCAAGCCACGTTTGTGGCAAGCTCCTTCTTGCACCAACCGTCCTGCTGATTTGGTCAGCATCAGCTGTTTTTCATCCACATTGCTACCCCACCCTAGAATGTTGAGGGATGTTTTTATTGGACAACCACGTATTTGGGGAAAAAGAACCTGTCCTGTAGTTCCTGCAGTTCTTTACTCCAACTGAAACAATCACTTAGATGATTCTTCCATATTTTCCCATGAAAATCACCATATTTTCTTGGTTTAGTCATCATTTTCCTATGGATTTTGGTAGGTTTTCAAAGGTTTTGACACCAGCCATTGTTGTGGAGACCAATGGCAGCTCCCAGGTCCTTCTCCGCATCCGCAGCTGCCTCTTGCTGCAAACGTGTCACCAAGTCCTCAGCCATCTCCCATATCTTGGGCGAAGGACCATGTGGAAACTACCGAGGTAAAGAAAACACCGAATTTTCAGCTGCAGAAATATAGTTTATAAGGCTTATATCATGTGACATATCCTGTCTTCCATATATGAAATATACAATTTCTTTTGGATGGCGGAAAAAAATCCTCACGAAGCCGACAGTTCCCCACGGGATGAGGCCAAGGGCCGAAATCATTTTGCGAATCTTGGACAAACTGTCGCCTTCCTTAGCACGGAGCATGAATACCATCAACCCCCCAAAGGTATCAGGGTGTTGAGATGTTGAATTCACGATGGTCAGGATATTGTAGATATTCAACTCCGGTTTTTGGTAAATATGGCAGTTGAACATGCGAAGTTTGAGAACCGCGATTTTCATCTTCGCTGCTCGTGGGCCAATCATGACCAATCTTAGATTCCAATCAAACGTGGTTAGTAATGGTTAATCATGATTTATAATCATTGCTACCCTCTGGTAAACTAACATAGCTATGGAAAATCACCATTTTTCATGGGAAAACTCACTATAAATGGTGATTTTCAATAGCTTTTTGTATGTTTACCAGGCCGGCTAATTCATGTGCGAATGGCAAACCTAATACTAAACCATCCCTAAGGTGCAGGTTTATGATTGGGTCTCCTATAGCTGAGATGACGGTGCCACGGAACCTCTTATGGCATTGGGTTTACTCATCTCATCCCCCCATAATTTTAAACACCAGCCACCCCAAAAAAACACCATGGTTTAGTAGGGAATTTCCACATCAAAATGGCACCATACTTAGGGTGTTTAACATTGATGGGATTCTTACACCATTATCAACCATTACCAACCATCATTAAAACACTAGTATGCAGTATTAACTATTATTAACCAACCATTCATCACCATCAATAACCATTATTAACTATCATAACTATTAACATCTATTAACCATTAATAACCATTCACCATTAACCATTAACCGACTCATCAAACCACCATCATTCACCATCAATTTTTCAACATCTGAGCCTGGCACGGCACGCAAGACCAGGGCCGAAAGCATGTTACTGTCCAGCTCCTGGAGTCCGTGAATGATGCTGGTGAATGATGAGTCGGTGAATGGTTAATACTGGTGAATGGTGAATGGTGAATGGTTTTTAATGGTTATTAATGGTTTATAGTAATGGTTAATACTGGTGAATGGTTAAATTAATGGTTATATTCATGGTTTATAGTCATGATAGTTTGAAAATAATGGTTATTGATGGTTTGATGATTGTCTTGATTCTACGTATTTTCATTGATGATGTAATTCTAAAAGATCAGATAAATACCCATCGATTTTCACCATTTTGAAGTGCCATTCTTTTTGGAGATACCATGAAACATGGGGGGTTTTCGAAACACGGCACATCCGACCTCGGCCTTTTCTCTCAGCAGGGAAATGGCCTGCTCTCTTTTGGCACCTCAGGTGGGTTGATGGGAAAATCTATGGGAAAATGGTGTTTTTTCCAGGTAATGAAAGTCTGCTTGCTTCCACTGTAGATCGTATACCTAACCATATTATTGGAATGCCGGCTGTATTTTTTAGTACTGAAAAGCATGATCACATCCCATGTTCAGAGATGCAAAACAAGAAGATTTGGAACTGCCGAGGAAGTCCGAAGCTTCAGGGGTGACAGACCTATGATCCTAACTGACACAAGAAAAATCACGGAGATTATTCAACCATAATCTGCGCGTAAACAAAGACAAATCGAAATAAAAACAATTGAGGTGAGGAATTTCTTCAAGAAATAACATCAGAAATTATCTCAAAAGTTGCGAAATTTGTTCAACAATTTTGTTTTACCAGGTCACCTATGTTGAATCGAATGAGACGGACAGCGCTTTAGCACATAGCTAACCGAGTTTAACCTTGGAAGTGTGACTTGTCATTCTTTACAGACATGACATCTAATTTCCCCTTCACCAAGATGCGATAAACTCAATGCAATCAACATCAATCAACCATATCCCCCAGTTTTACCATGTGGTGGGAATAAAGAACCCTACCCAAAAAAAACATCGCTAGGTTTTCACGATTGATGACATCCCCATCTATCCATTGGTCGTCACAAAGGTGATACATGGGAATGCCCACTAAAATAGCCATTCCTAAGGCAGGGAAAGATGATGATAATCCGTTGTGAATTGAGGCTACCCTGTGGTCAAAATGATACAAGGCGATGCCCTTAGTTATAAGTTGGTTTACTATTAACATTAACACCCATTAACTAACTAGTTCCAGTTCTACCATAAACCATGGAATTCACCCACCGCAGCAACTTAGCTATCATAAATCAGCGAGGAATCCCATGATAACTCCAAATGTTTCTTGCAACCTTTTTTTAAATATCTATCATAAACCATAGTTGACCTAGTAACCATTTTTCTATATCTATATCTGTCATAAACCATTTTTCTACATCTATCATACCCTCTGGTAAACGTTTACATAACGAACCGGAAAGATCCACCATGTTTTTTTAATGGCTAAATCAACTATTTCGACTGGGCCATTTTGTATGTTTAGAGGGTAAATCCCATTAATATTCCACTATAACTCACATAAAAATCCCATAAAATCCCTATAAATCCCATTAAATCACTATTTTGGGTAAATCGTATACCAACTGATAGGCACTCCCCGAGGTAACCCGATGGGATCAACTGAGCTATGAACCACCACTGTCAGAGCGCAAGGCCGCCAGCGATGTGCCCTAGATCTGAGGTGAAAATGGGATCCAAAACACATCAACATTGACATACGGTGGATGGAAGAAATCCTGCACCAGTTGGTATATGGTTTACCCCTAGTAATCTCATTATCTACAATCTTTCATAGTTACCTAAGGGTTGCCAACTGCTGCAGGATTTCTTCCATCCACAGTATGGGTATGGATCAAATGGATCAAAATGACCTGAATAACCGGAGATTTCAATCTATTTTTTTAGTATTAACCCTTTTAGGATTAACATGTATTAACCATCCAATCGTTGGGGTACCCAATTTTGACCCATACATCAGGGCATCATCGGTGACAATGATCCCATGGGATAGGCCAAACAGCTGGGGGTCACAGTTTTTTCACCAGTTGAGTCAGTTGAGTTCGGCATGGATCATGTTGATCACTTTTCTGGGATATCCCTGAAAAAAGTGGATGACCTGTAAAAAAATAGATTTTTTTACCATCCTTTTATTTAACATAGCCATGGTATAGATGGCCCTAATCGAAATTGATGGTTTACCCATTAATAGCATGGTGGATCTGTCCATGGCGAACTGTTAGTCATAACCAGATGGTAGTTCGATGATTTTCCCAGTAAAACCTCCATTTTGAGGGAAATTCCTATGGGTAAACCATCTATTTCTATGGAAATAACCATAGCCATGATGGTAACTCAAAATAGCCATCCTAATCTCAAATACTGGTGAACTCGTACATCAAGCTGTCGGCCAGCTTGAAATTACCATTGGGTTCACCGTTTCTGCTTGATTGACCTGGGGAAAACCTTCAAAACATGAAACGAATTGGCAGATTCAGGGGTTGAATGTGTTCAAATTCACCTGAACTGCCACAATTTTCACATTATGAAAATTGATGTGGATGGAGGTAGACACCAATGCATCAAGTATCCCAAGGATGGGATTTCCCTTCCCACTGCCCAACTTCAAAATTCATTGGACAACTGATGAACATTGACCAACTATTCATCTTCAATCTGAAGGAAACTGAGTCCTCAACATTTTTCACCTCCATCGTCACAATTTCCGCATCCAACATCGATATCAGTTCCAGACAAAGGAGGGGGTGCTTCCAACATCTCTGACACATGTCTTTGCAGCACACCTAATGGGTTTGTTTTATTCCGCATCAAATATTCCGTTGATTAGCCACATATCCCATGAAATATCCCAAGTACCCCCTGGTAAACTAACATAACTATGGAAAGATCCACCATTTTTAATAGGTAAACCATCCATAAATGGACCATTTTCCATGACTATGTTAAATTACCAGAGGGTATTCCCAGTTTTGTCAAAGGATAGACCACTGCACGATTCGTTTGGTCGTTTCGTCACCTTGGACGAACTTTTCTTGTCCGCGACCTTCAACACCGTTCCCTGAGCGCTGGGTCTGGGGGATGTATCTGGAGCATGGCTCATCCAAGGAAATTGTCGGGTGATTTGACATGCGAAAATCACCAACGACCAAGGTACAGAAATTCGGAGTTGACCAGAAATTCTGTGGTGAATTCACCGATTTCTGTGATGACCATGCAACTGAAGTGATGATTTAGTCTCATATGCCTTTGGTTTTCTTTTTGTCTTACTCAACATGCAAATTGTCCCCAGCATCCAACAAAGACCATCACTATACCAAAACCGGGCACCGGACCAAGATTGAGTAGCATAAACCAACGGTAGTCTTAGGATGGTTTTGGTGAGACATTGAATTGAGCATGATGTGTCGTTGACAAGTTACATAAAACGGTAAACGGTGTGTTTTGGTCTCGCATCCTGAATCACCTGTAAACTCTGCAAACCTCACTCGGACAGAAAACAATGTAGCGAAAATAAGAGCACCAAACCAGCTGTTCTTAGTTCATTACATATCATGTTATATGTGTATACATATAGATATATGTATATGTATGCATATATATATATATGTACATATACATATGTATATATATATGTATATGTATATATATATATGTATGTATATATATATATGTATATATATATATGTATATGTATATGTATATATGATTTGGCATGAGTAGACAGTGTTTCTTCGTGGGAACATTAACAGCCGCGACCTGGATGGCTTCGGAGGCTTTGTCGATGGCTGCAAGCTCCTTCCAGTGAGGATTTTTAGCCAACGAAGATGAGAATTCACCCGGCAAAATAGGGATTTATATAGGAATTATTCACATTACACCACTTAATATAGGAATTGGATTATTAAATATGTTCATATAGGAATTACACCACTTAATTACACCAATTATTCACCCTTTTAAACATATTTAACCATGAAAAGTGGTGTAAGGATGAACATATGAGCCTTCACCGATGTAGTCTGTCTAAATCCTGGGGACTCGAAGCCACTCGAAGCAAAAAGCCATCTGCAGTCGGAACCATTGCTGATCATATCCATGATGGCATCTTTATATAAGGTTGATAATGCTGGTAAACCATGGATCATTTAGTGAATGATAATGCTGGATCATATATTATTCACTAAATATAAATATATATCATCCATATCATCCATCTCAAAGATGTTTGAAACATGGGTAAACCATGCTTGAAACATTGAAACATGATTCAAGATGCTATAGCATCTTTCTGCAGCAGTAACATTGCATATAACTAATCAGTTATATTGATATAATCACTATCAGTCTATGAGTTATCATCATTAATGTAGGCAAAACAATAATAAACCATCCCCCAGTCATCGCCGTTTTTATAGGTGGTATGTTTACAGTTCCCAGTCATCGGTGGTAAAAATGACATTGTTTTACCTACATTAATCTATTAAATTAAACACCCAAAAATTGGTTCCTAATCACTATTCATGGATTATCATCACTATTCACATCTATTAACCACTATTAACCATTACTATCCCATGGTTTTCCCATTGTTATCCACTATCATTATCCAATGATGGTTATCACCATTTAACCACCATCAACCGCCATTATAATCACTATTAATCACTATAAAGCACTATTCATGGCTTATAATCACCATTAACCACCAGTAACCAATATTCAACCACCATTTAACCACCATTGACTACCATTAAATGACCATAATCACTATAATTAACCATTTAATTAATGGTCATGAATTGGTACAAAGTGGGGCCCCCTAGATAGCTAAGTTGGTTTATAACTCCAATGTCACTATGGTTTATGGTACTTATAACGAACTAGTTATTGGGGCTTTTGTTAACCAACTTATAACTAGGGGGCCCCACATTGTAGTTATTAATTAATCACCATTAACCACCATTTAACCACCATTTAACCATCATTTAACCACCATTAATCACCAGTAATGGTTTACCCTGCCCCTCACCAGCTGCAAAAACTTCGACCATCCGCTCGGCTCAGCTCTCCTCGCCCCGCAGCCGTTGACGTTCCTTGAAATCGCTGGCCTCGGCGGGGAAAGACATGGGAAACCGTGGGAGAACCATGGGAAAACCCATGGGGTAGTGATGGTTCATAGTGATTCATAGTGGTTAATGGTGGTTAAATGGTGGTTAAATATTGGTTACGGGTGGTTAATGGTGATTATAAGCCATGAATAGTGTAATCTATAGTGTTTTATAGTGGTTAATAGTGATTATAATGGTGGTTGCTGGTGTTGAAGTTGTGTTCTTTGTTCCCAATTTGGCGACTTGGAATCAGCTCGAACAGCCTGTTGAATGCGATGCACCCAATAGTATGCCATCCCCAATATCACGATAGATGCTTAAACTAACCAACTTATCTCCAATTAGTGGCGTATTATTATTATTATTTTTTTAATCATTATTATTACCAGTTGGTTATTTAACATAGCCATGGAAAATGGCCCATTTATAGATGGTTTACCTATTAAACATGGTGATTTTCCATGGCTATGTTAGTCATAACCAGATGGTATTTGGGCTAACACATCTTACACACATGGGGGTTTCTCAACATGGGGGTCCCCACCCTCATCCAGCATGGCCTCCCGTTTGAGTATTGAAACCCATGGTTTAGGGAAACCCCATTGTAAGAGAAACCTCCATGTTGTGGTATGTAGTACCATCTGGGAAACTCACATTACTATGTAAACTACTCATTTAAAATAGGTAAATCAACTATTTCTATGGCAATGTTCAATAGCTATGTTAAATTGCCAGAGGGTAATTCATATCCCATTAGAAATGGCCATAGAAATAGTTGATTTACCTATTCAAAAATGGTGTTTTTCCATCGTTTTTTCTATGTTTATCAGGCCGGGTAAGACAACTGTGGTTGGCAACCCCGCCTTCTGATCACAGGTCTGCTTCAGATCTGCCAGGTACTTCTTGTCATCCTGCGGATTTCTTTTGTCTCATCTGGGAGAAACGTGAAACACAAATGGCCAGAAAATATCAACATTTTTCTGATATGATCATTTATCATCATGTATACTTAATCTACATTCTATGCCTATGTCATACCCATGATTTGCCCATATGCACATAACCATATTAGTCCATGTCATAACCACATGGTCAATCTTTGCGACGCTTATGGTTATTCTTCCAAGGATGAAATTACCCATCCATCATCGGATTGGTTTGAGGGAAAATGTTACATCAATAATTTCTAAAGGATTTCTAAGATCTGGCTTACCTGTACCATATTTTTCCATAGCTTCTTTATAAGATAATTGAAACCGGACACCCCCTCCGTATTATTCCATATTTCAGGGTAAAAACAATGGTGTCCGGTGAAGATTTTCCCCACAAAACCAATCCACAATCAGACGTGTCAGTGGAACATCCACTAGAAATGGTGTCTTCATGAGAAAATCACCTACAAATAGTACATTTAATAATGGTACATTGAATATAATTTGTATTTCCCATATAAAATATACCCTCTGGTTATTTAACATAGCCATGGAAAATTGCCCATAGAAATAGACGATTTTCCCAGCTAGAATCCTCCATTTATTTTTGGGATTTTCCATGGCTATGTTAGTTATAACCAGATGGTACCGCAATAAACTCGTCATGTTTGAATTATAATTTTTTAATGTTTACCACTATAATATACCATATAAAATATACCATTTACCCTCCAGTAAATCAACATAGACCTGGCAGTCATCGGGGTTGGAGGATTAGTGAAACCACTAAAAATTGGGGATTTTCAGGGTCAAACTGTTAATTTACCAGGGGGTAATCCCATTATCCATATCATATTTTCCCATTATAATCCCATATCACTAACTAATATATATCCATAACCATAGATTAACCATAGTAACTTACCATTCCAGGGGGTAATAGGTACTATAAACCATGGATGGGTCGATTTTCCAAGGTTCCGGATGCCTCGTTCAACTTGGAGACTTCCACTAAGGCAGCGGACTTCTCAGCCTTGCGGAGCTTGTTGAAGGGGGCAATAGAACTATGATGTATGGGAGATATCAGTGATATATATATATATGTATATATATATATATGCAGAATATGTATAGGATTATATATGTATAGTGATATATCTAGAGTATCTATAGTTCATGAGGTCATTTTGGACTCTGGTTGATTTTAAAATGGATAGAAGTGATATTTCATGCGTATTCACAAAGTCACCAACAAAGATCACTTCGTTGGTGACATGATCAGGTGGGTGAGGTCGTGGTTGGCCATGGAGAAGCTGTTACTCCCATCCCTTGGACTTTTACATACTTGATACTTCTTGTAACACTTCTGAATATAGACAATAACCATGATTTTTGATCATGTTCATGGACATTGCTGGAAAATCTCATCATATGTGTAAATGTATATGTATATATATATATTTACATATATATATATATCTATCTATCTATCTAGATAGATAGATAGATAGGATCAGATTAGATTAGATTAGATTAGATTAGATTATATTATTTTAGATCAGATCAGATCAGATCAGATAGATAGATAGATAGATAGAATGAATGAAAGAATGATAGAATGATACGCGTATATATATATATATCTACATAGATAGATAGATAGGATCAGATCAGATCAGATCAGATCAGATCAGATTAGATTAGATCAGATAGATAGATAGATAGATAGATTGAATGAATGAATGAAAGAATGATATATATATATATATACATATCTATCCAACAATACACCCTCTGCTACCTTCACCGCGCCTTCACTTGATCCTTCCGCAGCTTGGCCGCCAACTTGTCCTCCTTGGTCTTCTTTCCAGTGGCCAGCTGTGCCTTCCAGTCCTGCAATGGGAAGCGACCAGGTTGGATGGGAAAAGGGATCATTTTATGATACCGGTAGGAGCATAGGGAAAACACCTGAGAAATGAATGGACGTGCAGGTTTTGATAGGGATTGATCATCGAAATTCCAATTTTCGCCCTTGGCTTGAGATTGCAGATCTGCAAATATCTCAGGAAAAACAACACGCCACTATAAACTATTGCAATCTTCAACCTGCTGGGAGCCTCCCCTTGGCACTTTTAGAGGGAAAAAACCGTCAAAGTACCCTCTGGTAAACATAGAAAAAACTATTGAAAATGGCCCAGTCGAAATAGTGGATGTGTTCCCATTTTCATAGCATGGTGGATCTTTCCAGTTCGTTTTTTCTGAGAGTTCACCAGGCCGGGTACCCAGGAAACGAAGCAGGTCCCTCATCAGCATCTCGTAGGCATGTTTCTTCTCTGCCTCACTCTTTTCCAAAGCAACACCTTGGCCGGAGAAACTGGGATGTACCCGGCCTGGTCAACGTTTACAAAAAACAATGGAAAGATCCACCATGCTATGAAAATGGGTAAATCAACTATTTCGACTGGGCCATGGCTATGGCAATTTTCAATAGCTTTTTCTATGTTTACCAGAGGCTACTTCCATCATATATCCCATGAAAAATCTCATCATATATCCATTAAAACACCGTGAATTAAATGGTAAATAGCCATGTTAGTCATTACCAAATCAACTGTTTTTAATGGGAAAACTCACTATTTCAATACCATTTTTCTATGTCAAAACCAGGCCGGCTACCTACCTCGATCTGCCCCTGGCCGCACGAGATCGCTCGGTTCCCAGGCGTTCGGTCTGAAATTTCTCCTCCAACTGATCCAACCTGAGACGTCGACACGACACCGTTGGGGATGAAAATGGCCATAGAAATAGCCTCTGGAAATCCATGTCCCAAGAAATGTGTGGTCAACTTAAGGTATCAATGTTAGTAAGTGTTAGTAAAACAATCAAAAACCACGCATATTTTGATGGTCTAGACATTTCTAGACCACCCATTTATGGTAAACTTGGGGATGGTTGACCATTGCTGTTCCCCGCATTAATTCAACCATGTCCCGTTTACGAAGCATTTCTGGGTCATGGAAAAAACCCATCCCAAAAAATGGGAATCATCCCATTGGGGAAAATCCACCTCTATTGGGAATGGTTTATGATTAGGAAATCACATGTGGTTGGGAAACTCTTGGTAGCTCCAAATCGCTCCCCATGAAAAATAGGGAATATGAATAGCCATAGCTCCAAATCGCTCCCTCCTAACCAATGGATAGTTGGGAAATCGCATTACACTTGTTCTGAAAATATGCCGTTGGTTCACCAATGACAAGTCACGGCATATTCAAAAAGAACTCTCTGAATGTGAGAAGACTGGCCTCCATTTCTACACTGGCTTGCAACAGAACAGAACATGTGGTCTTACTTCACCATGGTAACACCCAAAAATGCCATCAGGACAGTCGGGGTTTCAAACGATTTGACTTGGCAGTAGCCCAAGCAGGATCAACGGCGCAAGAAACAGCTCGATCACCTTTGTGGACTGGAAGCTGTAGGCACCCTGCGAAGCATCGAAGAGGGATATGTCAATCCTTCAGTTGATAAATGTGCCAATCTCAAAAAAAACAAACAAACAACTGATAATGGCCATTGATTTTTTGAGTAAATGGCCATTGGTAAATGGCCAATCTTCAGTTGATAAATGGCCATTGAGTAAATGTGCCAATCTAAAAGAAAACCGAACAAATAGGATTTTCTTTCCAAAGATTTTCGACGTGGTCTTCGAAATATTCCAGATGAGACATTTACTACGCCCTGTCCAATTCTTGAGTTTCACCAATCCAAGTTTTGTCCGAAACTGCAAACATGGGGTATGTCGGCTACCCCACCAAGAAACCCTGCAGCACGATCAGCTGCACCTTTTGCCAGATGGCTGTCGGTATGACAACCTGGGTTAGATTTGCACCCCCTGTGTCCGCAGTGCCTGTTTTGCACGTAGGACATTCAAAGGGTAGCGGAGCCGGTCGATCAGGTCAGCTTCTTATGACCTTCACGATTCGAAGCTCCAAAACACATCCGGTGCAGATGTTCCCAGATCTTCACCTTGGGCTGCACCTTCGTCACCAAGTCGGCGTCGTTCAAGGCTCCGGCCACTTTCTCAACGGCCAACTCCTTTGCGAAGACCTTGTCCTGAACCCATAGCACGCGGGCTTGGACATGCCTTGTTTTGCCAACTCCTCGACGTTCGGCTAGCGCTTTGGCCGACGAACTGTCAGCACGAAGCACTGTCATCAAAAGCTCGTGCTCCCAGAACTTCACGACGTTCTCGATGTAGACCGCCAAAGTTCCAGCTCTGCACATTGCACAAAATTTTGACTCCATTGAACTCAAAGCCACCACTTTCTGGCAAGCGGCTTTCACCTGGACCACGTGTCCCCCAAGCTTCACCACTGCTCCTGACGTAGATCTTCTGCTCCTCAAGTCTCCTGCCCAATCGCTGTCCGTGTAGGCAACGACCCTCAGCTCGTCCTCATACTGTACCTTGTAGATTCGCTTCAGGTAGGGAACCTTCAGCAAGTAGCGGGCGCACTTCTTCAGCCTCATCCAGTCAGACAGCTTTGGCGTTTTCATTGCCGACGCCAATCCTCTCACAGCGTGGCAAAGATCAGGTCGATCCGTAGTCAAGTAGGCCAACCTCATAGTCATTGACCTGAACTGGCTTGCCTGCTCTGCATCCAGCTCAGCTTGTCGATCGGCCTCGATCACATCCTTCTCCGTCAGCTTGTCCTCCGGAATGTCTACTCCTTTGGTGCCCTCCTTGAATCCAAAGGCCTTCACGAGGATGTCGGTGTGTCTCGCGTCAGCCTCAATCTCCAATCTGCAACCTTCATTGTCCGCTCCATCCGGCACATAGCGCACCAGTCTGTTCAAAAAGAACATTTCTCGGTCATCTCTCTCCAAGTGTTGCCTCCCAGCGCGCAGTGTAGCGACTGTTCAACATCTCATCCATCCACTTCAAACCTGCTTCATCTCCAACCACCAAGAAGTCGTCGCCATGAACGAGTCCAAGTAGTCCACGATCCTTGAACTTGAAGAGTGATGTGCAAAGTGCACTGACCTCTCCTCCATGCTTTGACAAATGGTTCTGCCAATCCTCTTGAAAAATTTTCGAAGCATCCATCGTCCCATACATGCTCCTCTCCAACTTGCCAACCATGGGGACGATGTCATCGTTGTGAACCTTGTCCTCCTCTGGCAACTCCATCCAAATGTCTCTTGCAGCTTTTCCCATGAAGTGGGCTCTCGAGATGTCCCAACTGGCAATCTTTTTCTTGTTCTCTTCACCTCGCTTCCTCGTCATAAACAGCGACAGCAAGGCAAACACCGTCTCCGTAGGCGGCGTAGAGCTGAAAGTCTCATTGGGTAGAAGTTGTTGATCTGGAGCTTTTGCTTTTCGGATTTCTTTTGCAACCAGCCTCGATCGGACTTTCGGGGCGTCGTTGTCGCCCTTGTTGATGTCAATCCACTTGATTTTGAGAAGTGGACCTTGTGCCTCTGATGCTGGCACCCGGGTATAGACCTTCTCACCCTTCAGCCATTGCAACTCCTCCGCTCTGGCTCTCTTCACAAGCTCTGCATCCAACGCTGCTCCAGATGAGTCGTCCAGGAACTCCTGCTGGGACTTCTCAACCTCAGCCTCCCATTCGTTGTAGTCATCTGGGCTTGGACCAGTGAGCTTCTCCTCAATCGAATTGATCATTTTCTTTGCCCTCATCTCTCTTTTCAATCCTCTTAGGATCGCTTCCACCAAGGCAGGTGGATAGACTTGTGCTGCTCTCGCCCTCTGCTCTCCAATCAGCTGGACATGTCGGTGAATCTCTTTTCCCGCCAGCTGGTTTTCACAAACTCCTTGAAGTTCCGCAGCAATCTCCTTGCTGTTTGTCAACCACCATGTCTCCTTTCGAACATGTAGCAGTTCTCCATGAGGGTCTTTCAGCTTCATGCCAAACCGGCACATCGGGCTCTGCACCAGGTAGGTGTCCTCTCTGTTGCTCATCTCTTCGACCTCAGGCATCTTCCAACTGTCGGAGTCTTTTGGGTGCTCATGCAAAAACAAACCACCAAGATTGGCTTGCAACTTGCAACAGGCGATTGATCGCCTCACCCTTTCTCTTCCAACCTTCTCCTCTTCTGCAACCACCTGGGGATCTCTCTTGGCATTGGACAAGTTGCGAAGCTTGCTAAACGTAGTGCACGGAGGGGAACTCGTCACCAGCAGCGGCATCTCCTTGACGATGAGTTGAAGACACTCCTTGTAGTCCTCCTTCAGGTCAAGATTCCAACCTTCTTCAAGATCCACTGCAACTCCATGCCTCATCCCAAAGCGTCCAAGCGCCTTTGTCAAACGCTGAGGCGAAAACACCTCCAGCACATCCAAAGCTCCAAGGTCTGCGACAATCTCCGCGGCCTCGATGCTGCCCATTGCGTCCCCAAGTGCCTCAACTGCCTCAGACCTCTGGGTCCCTTCTAACTCGGCCTGGGTCTCCTGAGCCAAGTCCTCGATGTCCTGTGCTCCTTGTTCTCCACCTTTCCTCTTTGGGCTCGTTGGTGGATCCCCAGGCATTTCTGCAACTGGCTGACTCCCGGAGCTCCCCGCAGGCTCTCCTCCAGCCGCGGTCGCCCGCACCGGCTCTCCTCCAGCCGGGGGCGGTGTCTCCGAAAGCCGTTGTTGCAATGCCACTTCAATCCTCTCATCCTCTTCCTTCTGTTTCTTTGTCACTGCCTCCTTCTTTTCCTCTTGCTCCTCCAGGCACCTTTTGATCCTCGTTCTGCATGAGTCTGTATGGGCAATCTGTTGGAAGCCCATGCCGCGCAGGATGGAGTCACATCCTGCACATCCAGTTGTCCTTCCAAACTTGTTGAGGTGCTCTCTTCTAACTGCCCATGCTCTCTTCGTTGAAGATGTCCTGGTTGTAGAAGCGCTCGGAGCTCCAACCATCGGGCTCTTGTCGATCATCTCCTCACCTTGATCTCCTCCACCAGCTTGTTCTCCAGGTACTTCAGCATGTTCACCTTCTGCAGCACGTAGTGCGACCACAGGCGGAACCACAATCGCAGGCTGTGCTGCCTGCTGCTCCACTGGCTGATCAAGTTCAGGAACTTGTCGACGAACATAGGTCCTCACGTCCCAAGGTGCTCCTCGTAGTCCATCTGGTAGAGCTTCCCATTTCTCCTCCTCGGTGAGGCTGTGGTAAGAGCTCCCGATCAGAACTCCATCTGTTGTCATTGCCAGCACACTCCCAAAACGGTTGTGTGCCCCGAGAAACCTGGCTGGTTTCATTTTCGCCATGTCTCCTCTTCGTCCTTTGCCGATGGGCTTCACCATGATGTTCTCACCAAAGACCGGCATCGGCTTGATCCAACGTTTTCCTGTTCGGCGTTCTTCAGGTGTGCGGCCGTCACTTCCAACTTTGTACCTGTTGGATTGTTCAGCAGCGTACCGTGGGATCCATGTCAAAAGTGGATGCCCTTCTTCAAGTTTGACTCCCAACTTCTTCTCCAGCATGAGCGTCACTGCACGGATACGCCACTTGATCTCCTTGACCGCAGCTTCAGCTTCTCCATTGGCCTTTGAATCGCCCACAGGTGACTCTTCCATGATGGATCGCACCACGCACCGGGCTTTTCTGGCTGCCACGGCTTTGAGAGCAACAAGCGATCTCTCTCCATCGCTCTTCAAAACGATCTGCTTGTACCCGAGCAACTCCAGGAATCGGGTCAGCACTTTCTGTCCAACTCCTTCCACTGCATTCTTCTTGTCCAGGGCTGTTGCAACCATCATCCCTGTCCTCCGATCTTGGGCCACCAAATGCGGCTTCGAACCTTCTTCCTCTCCAAGGTAGAAAAAGTCCATCACAATGGTGTCCACCAGATCCTCATCATGTGGAACTCGTCGATGTTGTTTTGCTGCCCCAGTTGCTTGTATGCATTCTTGGCACCAGCTCCTGTAGACAGCATGTCCAGACGCCTCATGTTCGCGGCGTTCTGCATCGGTTGGTGAAACTGGAGTCCAACCAGGGTTTGCTGCTCTGGCTTCAACGCCTTCGGCTATCACCAAAGCTGGCTCATCCCCCTGATCTCCTCTATCTCCCTCGTCCTCATCCACGGCGCAAACTGGTCGGTGGTGATGTCCTTCTCGTCCTGCTTCTGCGGGTCTCCGATGGTCTCGATACCTCTTCCAAGGCGGTGGAGATGCCTTTGGTGTTTTCGGGCTCTCCTCACCCGGCTGCAGCTCGTGCTCCTTGAGGTAGAAGTTGTAGACGCCGTTCTCCTCGTAGAGCGGGATGATCCCATGGTCTCCATACTGCTTGATCGCCTTGTCGTACGCTGCACCAAGAGCTTGGCAGACAGGATGGCTAAGTGGAATGATGTCTCCTCCGCCAGGCCCCATCCACGTGCAGAAGCCTTTCTTGTGCATCCTGCTGGCGCTCACCAGGATCTTGTGCACGTCGCTGATCTTGCTGTTGACCTTCCGCACGATGCCATGTCTGTCCGTCCCCCTGATGCATCCATCTCCATAGGTTCCGATCACTTCTCCTGACGCTGTCTTCAGCTTGATGTCTTCAGGTTCTCCTTCTCCAAAGTACTCCTTCGGCAGGACCGTGATCGAAGCTCCCGAGTCCAGGTTGCACTTGATCCATCCGTCCTCCACAGAGTTGACTGAAGGACTTCTGCGATCTGCTCGGCTCCTCGATCTGTCCTCTGTCTCAACCTCAACCTCGACTTCCTCCATGTCATCTCGGTATGTTGATGCTGGCTCACTCTTCACCCTTGACGATCTTGTTCTCCTCGAAGGGCTCCTTGAGGAAGACTTAACCGAAATGGTGCAAAGGTCAAGTCCACCAGCTTCTGCAGGAGGTTCAGGTTCTGCTTGTTCCACTGAGGCTGCATTCCCCTTGCCTTTGTTCTGCGTATTGGGCTTTCCTCCTTTTCCTTTTCCATTGCTGGGGAGATTCCAGCACTCAGATTTGCGGTGTCCAATCTTCCCGCAGTGATGGCATTTTCCTTGAAACTTTGCATCCTTCTTCGGGCTGGCACTCCCAGAACTTGGTTGTCCTTTGCCTTTTCCTCCATCACCAGGCTTTTGCCAGCAATCACGTTGTTTGTGGCCAGGCTTGCCACAATTGTTGCAAGTGATCTTGTTCGACCCCTTAGTGTTCTTTCCTTTTCCAACTGCACCTGATCCCACAAGCGATGCGATGTTGCCCGACACGGTCTTGACCAACGCATCGATGTCCATAGGAGCTGCACCATTGTTCGAAGATCCAGCCGCTGGCTTGCTGAAGTTGGAGCTGATGTTCATCTTCGACCCCGTGCGAGCTTCCATGAACGTGACAATCTCACGCTCCATCTCATCGAAAGTCCTCAGTCTCGAATAGTTGAGCATCAGGTGGGTCTCTAACTCCTTCGGCACCAGGCGTTCCAAGGCATTCATTGCAAGGCTATCTGGTAGTGCTTCTCGAACTCCAAGTTGGTCTTTCTTGCGGTCGTACCTCGATCTCAAGGCCTTCCAACGTTCAAGAGCTCCTTGAAGGTTCTCGTAGCTGCTCCTCTCAGGGTTGGTCAATGCCTGAAGCATCACACGCTTCCGGCTCCCCGTAGATGGGTCATAGCGCTTGTGCAGCGCCCTCCAACCTTCAAGTCCACGACCAGAAGCCACGTTGTCGATGAGGTCGAACGGAATCCCCTCTGTCGTTGCTCGCAGCACCACATACAGTTGCTTGTCGAACTCCTCAATCTCTTCCCATTGGTCGGCGGCATCTGCAGTCATCCCAAATGCTGCATCAACCTCCAGCTCGGTCACCTCGGTCTCCATAGTTGCGGCCCATTCAAGAGCCTCCCGACTCTTGCCACCAAAGACTCCACTCACGTAGTCCTCCAACTTGATGGCCCAAAGTCTGAAGCGGGTGTCAGCGTCGTCACCCAACACCTGAGGTTTGCCAAGCCCCCTAGGATCTATCAATCCCTTTGGTTTTCCCATCTTCGCCAACGCATCTGGAAGTTGTTGAAGAGCTTGAAGCACCTCCTGCACAGGTAGAGCTCCTCCAGCTGTCGGCGACCCTCCAATCTGCTGCTGTGCCTCAAAGGTCGTCAGCCGATCCCTTAGCACCTGGTTCTCCTGCTGGGTCACCTGCACTTGCGTCTGGAGCTGCTGGATCGCAGCTGCAAGTTGAGCTATCTCTCCCTGCTGTGCCATCGTTGTCCTCAGAGACCAGGCCGATCAGGACGTATGGTAGTCCCCCTTGGCAACCTAGGATCACCGCAATGGCCACCAAGAGAAAGTTCCACCACCAGCGCGGCTTCGGGGCTCTCTCAGCCTCCCAAGCCCAGAGAGCCGCACAGCCCCGTGCCGCTGCGCCTCGACGCAGGCACGCTACCATGCAAACATGGGGTATGTCGGCTACCCCACCAAGAAACCCTGCAGCACGATCAGCTGCACCTTTTGCCAGATGGCTGTCGGTATGACAACCTGGGTTAGATTTGCAGAAACTGGATCTTGAGGCCTTCTTTTTTGGGTATCATCTGATGTTTGTCTGGGGTACAGGGTGGGGCCCCCAAGATAGCGTTCAGTTGGTTTATAAGTGGTTGAATTCAATGGTTTATGCTAGATACAACTATAGTTATTTCATGGTTTATAAACCAACTTACAACTGGGGGGCCCTTTTTGGGTATGGCTATGTAGCTGACAGGAATTTCACCAAATCGCAGTCCCATTCTGGCATTTTCCTCAAGTCCTCGAGGATCGACAAATTGGTGTCATCGTGGCTGGGAAACTCTCCCTTAAACCCAGCCCCTCTGGTTATGTCAAGCCATAGCTATTGGAAATGGCCATAGAAATAGTTGATTTACCGAACTTAAAGATGGTGATTTTCCATAGCTATGTAACAGTTTACCAGATACCTATTAAAGATGGTGGATCTTTCCATAGCAAACTGTTAGTTTACCAGAGGGTATAGCTAAAATCAGCAAAGTATTGCTGATGCTCAACCAGCTTTGACTACCAGAGGGTATTTGGAGGATCATTTCACTTGGTTTTTGTGCTTAGTAACCATAGATATAACCCACTAAGAAATGGGAACCAGGCTTCACAACTTACTCATTGAGGCGAACAGCCAAGTGTGCCATTCAAAATACCAGCGAATCATTCATGATATCGGAATTATATCCTAACTGGTTTCTTGGGGACTATAACTCATGATAAGAATCTTTAATAAGATTATCACCAGAAAGTACCATATCCTCATTTTTCAATGGTTCTCCTCACAAGTTCATACCACCCATGACTGGGAATGGTCCTATTAATTTATGGTGACTGGGGGATGGTACGTTTATATGCGTGCAAATGGCAGCCCGTTTTACCCACATCAAAAAGGGCCGAATGTTTACGAACCAAGCCCTCAGATGAGATGGCGCTACCTCAGCAGGTTTCTCCAGAGATGTGCCCTCTGAAAGAAAGGCTTCAATGGCGCTGCGAGCCTTCGCGGATCAGAGATACTTTTCATCCAAAAACATCAACCTTTTCGATAGGAAAAAAACGGGTGAACACAAATCCCTGGATTTAGGGGAATTTGCAATGTTTGAAGAAAGCCAACTATGTATTGGAACCACCAAGATCCTAATGATTGGAGAATCTGCAGACCCCGGAAAATCTGCCGAGCGTTCCAGTGATGCCTCTGGTTATTCAACAGTTTGCGAGAAGCTATGGCCATCATGGAAATAGATGATTTATGATGATTTACCTCTTTGAAAAATGTGATTTTCCTACTTTCAGTAGCCAGAAAGTACCCCTTCATCTTGTCCCTCGGATAATCAATTTTTGGTGTGAACTCTACCATCGAATCAAGTGGATCGAAAAAAAACATCACTACTTGGTGGCTCATCCCACTTAGTAAGTGGGTTATAACCCCAATTATAAATGGGATAAGTAGGGTTAATCCACTTATAACTGGGGTTCCAACTATCCATTCAACTTGGATTAACGGAGATCTTTTCATCCAGTATCTTCAACTTTCGATTGTTGGATCAACTGTCATCCATGATCGACCGATCTGAGCTGTTTCGAGAGAAACGCGGAAACCACTGCCCAGTGGTGCCAACCAAAAAGCAAAGCGACACCGAAACCAAACAAGGGAGTGATTGGGGATGATAAAGAACATATAAAAAACCCGGACTTCAAGGCAGTGAGTCAAAACCATTCAAAACTACATTCTAAACTGGCTACAGCATGCAGGAAACAACCTTCTTGGACGGAAAAAACCCATAGGAAAATGGTCCCTTTCTCGCCTGAGATGAGGACGTGAAAGCATCAATGTCTTCATCTGTGAGATCCGATCCTTTGGACGCCAACTGCAGAAAGGATTCCGCCTGCGAAAGGCTCGTGCAGCTGGAGAGTTTGGATTTTCTGAACATTGCAATCCAATGACAATGACAACATGATATGTACACATATATATATGATAATAATAATAACAACGATAATAATAACAACAATAATAATAACAATAATGATAATAATAACAATAATAATAAACATAATAATAATAAAAATAATAATAACAATAATAACAATAATAACAATAAATAATAATAATAATAATATATATATATAGAAACATGTAGAGATATAGAGATATACAGACATTAGAGATTATAGAGATGAAGTGACGCCAAAAAAGGTGACATCGATTTTTGCCGAAGTCGATGGCAATTTCTTGTTTTTCTATAGGATCATGTGGAAGGGTTTGGGAGAACCAGAAAAAGAACAGCAGCCTTATCTGATGATGGCGCTAACAGCTATACCACTAACCTTTGACTGACGATTGAGTCATATCACATATTGACCCATCATTGGATAATCAGAACCTTTAACAGCTATACCACTATATTAACCCATCATCAGTATCAGTGATCCAGTGATGCAATGATAACAGTCACCCAAGGAACTATAGAAAAACCAACCTTAAGTCATGGAGATGCCCAAAAAAGTCCCACCTGCTCGGGTGAAACCTCCTTCTCCTTCAAGGCCTTCTGAGCCTTTCCGACACTCTGCACCGCCTGCAGCAAAATTCCGAGCCTTTTTTGGTGGATTCATAGGATCATGGGATACATATCACCAAGATGGGTCAAACATTTAAAGAAAAGGACCAGAGATTTAAATCGATTTTCGTAAACATCCAATAGTTGGGCTACTCAATGACTTGACCCATACCCAGATGTTGAATAGGGAATTCTTATGACAAACCACTGAATTTTGGAGTATTGACATGGATTAACCATCCAATCATTGGGGTAATTTTGACTGCCCAACTCGGCTGATGCTTCTCCAACATTGGTTGAGTTGAGTGACGGGAACTACGTAGCTGGGGCCCAGCCAAGCACAGCACGCGGGAGTGGGGATTCAACAGATTTCAGCCCAAATAGGGTGTAAACCAACCATACAGTGGCTGGGGGCTTTTAAATATTTAAAATGCAGGCACGTTTGGAAGTTTGTGGCTCCAGCGATTTACCATTACGGATATATTATGGGATAAACATTACCCTCTGGTAAACTAACGTAACAATGGAAAATCACAATTTTCAATGAGTAATTCCACTATAAATGGCCATTTTCAATAGCTATGTTAAGTTGCCAGGGGGTATCAGCAATCTGATTTGGGTTTGTCAAATTGGGGGGTTGACAGCATGAATGGTGGACATTTTAATGGAGAACATGATGATCAACGAGCAAATTTGTGGGTACAATTTCAAGACAAACCCTTTTAGACCCACAAAATTCATCACTTTTACTGGTTGGTGGTTGAGCCACCTACCACTCTGAAAAATGATGGAGTTCGTCAGTTGGGAATATGATTCACAACTGAATGGAAAGTCATAAAATCCCAGGGTTCCAGTCACCACCAGCCAGACCTAAGTATTGAGCCCATAGATGTCCAACGAAGATGAACAGTGAAGATCAACATGTCCCGGGGACCACGGACAGCTCATGGCTCTGAAATCATGACAATTGATGGTTTATTATACCCTCTGGTAATTCAACATAGCTATTGAAAATGGCCATAGAAATAGTTGATTTTCCCATAAAAAAATGATGATTTTCCATAGTTATGGGACAGTTTGCCAGAGGGTAAATAATCCATTACTGGTTGGTGGTGCAACAACCATCTGGAAAAATGATGGAGTTCGTCAATGGGAAGGATGACATCCCATATATATATATATTATGGAAAATAAAAAATATTCCAATCCACCAACCAGCCATGGACTGTGCAATTCATCTTTCACGGAATGTGGGACTCTGCAGTGCCAAAGTCGCTGCCAGTTCATTTTTTGTTGATAAGTCCCAATTCAATGATTTTCTACAGGGTAGGTTGACAAATAAATCATACAGCAATTGGCTTGGTCAGTGATGAATTTTTGGTTAACCCCGGATCCAGTTCCGGCGTCAATGGTGAAACTCCCAAGACTTGAAAAAGTTGTGTTGCTTAAACCTCGAAACCTTTATAAACCATATTAATCCAATATCTATGTGGATTTATCCCATGGTTTCTTTAGGGTGTTTAAGGGCTGAAGTGGACAAGGGATTCATAGTTTTTTTTGTTTTAAATCAATAGTTATATATTCCCTCGTATCAATAATATCCCATTGGTTAATAGTAACATATTTCATTCTTAATAGTTATACATGCCACTCATCGCTATATATGGGGGTTTCTTAAAGTGAGGGATCCCAAAGTCATCTTGGGTTCCAATACTAGAGTGGCCTAATTTTTCATGATTGGGGGTACCCCCCATGACTTAGGAAACCTACATATGCCTCGTTAGGCAGTTGTATATCCCATTAAGAGACTATTATTAACATTGTTGTTGGATATTCCATCAACATTCCATTGTTAATAATAGTTATTAATATGAATATTAACTACTCACTACAACAATCCCATTACATTACATACTTATATGGTAATAGTCAATATCCTTATGCCGTCAATATCCCATTACTTAATATCAATAGTACCATTAATAGTTAGATATCCCATTAATATTTCCACGAATCCCATAGTTACTTGTTAATAGTCATATATATATATATTATATAAATCCCATTAATTACGGTAATAGTTAGATATGGAGGTTTCCAAAAATAGGGGTACCCCCAAATCATCCATTTATAGGTTGATTTTCGATCCAGCTATTGGGGTACCCCCAAAGCAGCTGGGGGCCTTCAGATACTCGCTGTGCGCAGTTGTGTAGGCTGCTCGTTCCTCACCCCGGGCCTGTAGTTGGAGATTTTTGGCGGATTTGAAGAGGGCTTACTAAGATTTTGATGAGGTTTACATGAGGTTTTATGGGGTTTTAATAGGGTCTAATAGACTACTCACATGAGGTTTTGCAGTCAACATGACTGGAGCCATTTAACATGGGCACAACGGGCAATCTTCCAGCAAACCATGTTTGATGACACCGGAGGGATTTATTTCGGTTCAATGGGCTTCAATGGGGTCGAGGATACCCAGGCCTATTCAAAGGCAATGCCAGAGTTTCATAAAGTCATAGCTTTGTGACTGATGGGATTGCACCGCCTTGGTGGCTTTCTGCTGGTCAGCTGTCACCTTCTCGATGTCTTCCTCAAAGCTTTGTTCATCCGATGAAAATGGCTTTGAGACCTGAACATCTGGGGGAAAAGACCTATCTTTGATGATTTCAAGCCTCGTTGTTCCCATAATTTCGTGGGATCAATCGCTGTTTTTTCACTAAAGCTGCACATTTTTCAAACAGCGCATGACCAGCGCACCAAGCGACGACGACTTCAGGGATCGATTCTTCGAGGTTTGCAATGTCCACGGAGAGCTTTCCCAAATCAGCCTCCGGAGCGCATTCCACATCAACGGTTGTGATCTGGTTGGTGGTATACCCCTCTGAAAAATGATGGAGTTCGTCAGTTGGGATGATTATTCCCAAAATATGGAAAGTCATAAAATTCCATGGTTCCAAACCACCAACCAGTTGTAAATTCCTATTGATTGTCTCATCAAATCCCATTGATTGTCCCATTATTGGGGGTAAGTGGTTAATAACCATGGTAAATTCATATTCCAAACCACCAACCAGTGATCGGTTGTGATTCGAGTTGCCAGGTGATATGAGGTGATCCCCGAATTTCAACGGAACGCAGCCATTTTTGGGGCCAGGGGTCTGGAAACCATATGACCAGCACAGCCGGGGTTCATGATGGTACCACCTTGGTTGAGGTAAACCATTCCATCTACGAAACAACTTGACTACTGGATGATCGAAAAAAATGAAAGAGCTAAACATGGGCCCCATGGCTTTGAAATTTTGATGTTGGGAAAAAGCCTGAAATTTTGATGGCAAATCCCCATTGTCACATGGCATCAACTTGGGCGAGTTGAGAACCAGGACCCCTAACAAAGATTACCTTCATCGATCCATATTTCGATGATTTCGAGAACATCCTCGACCAAGCTTCAAATCCCAGGTTCAATCCGCCATCGCAGCCCACCTTGATGCTTTCGATCTTATCCTCGCCCTCTTCGATGCCCTTGGCTTTCTCTTTCTGGGTATCTCAGCGAATCTGACATCACTGGAGATTTCATGATCTCACAGGAGAATCTGGAAATTCCTCACTGGAAAAATCACACGCTTTCTTCGAATTTTGCTGGCTTGGTTGGAATATACATAGACAAAGTGTGTATATTTATTAAATAAATACATGTATATTCATATATATATACTATGTATGTAATGCAATGCAATGCAATGTATGTACATATATATATAATACACATACAATACAAATCTATCGGTTTTCAGCTTTCCCAGTTTTTCAGGCCTCCGAACAACCCTTTAAGATCCCGAGCTCTTACAGAACTGCTCGTAGGCAGCGAACTGCACGGCCTCCTTTTGTTTCTCCTGCCATCACTGGAGGACACCTCTGGTTGACAATTCATGGCAATCTCCAATGACACACTGGATTTGGGGCTAAATTCAACGAACTATCCTTTTCTGGTTGGTGGTTGAGCCACCTACCCCTCTGAAAAATGATGGAGTGAGTTCGTCAGTTGGGATGATTTTTCATTCCCAAGTGAATGGAAAGTCATAATCCATTCCATGGTTCCAGTCACCACCAACCAGATCATCATCATATTCCCATTGTTCTTGGTTTATACCCTATAAAAACCACTATTAACCACTATTAACCACTATTAACCAACCTATGGTTCCAGTCACCACCAAGCAGTTTTAGTAGATCAATCGACCCGACTTTCCCAACTCTACGAGGTTAGCATCACCTAGGATCCCTAAAATCAGGGCAAAACTCCACGTTTTTTCCATGCTGAGATCAATGGACTATGTCAAAAGGTAGAACTCATAGAATTCATAGGAATTTCAACCAAATCCTATTATATCCTATGAATCTATGAACTAATCCTATGAATTAATCCTATTTAGGGATGCTTAGATCAATGGAAACACCATGGTTTTCTCTCATAGATTTACGCCCTGGAATACATCCTTCCAACTTCGCTTCAACATCCGGAAACGAAATCGCGATGATGCACTGAACTAACTTGCTGAATTCTATGGTATATGGGGAATATAACTATAGTGAATGATAATGAATGTTTTTTTCAGCAACTCATCACTTTGGGTTTTTGACCCTGTATGATCCGAAGGATCTTCCCCATTGATATGCTTCCACGTTGGATTGCTAGAGGCTTCTGTACCCTTGCCGCGATGTGGATGGGTGAATACTGCCACATACCGTCACATTTTTTTTCATCTGTATGGGTTGATATTCCCAGTAGAAAACAAACAGCGGGATGAACATTGCTTCTCCCTGTCGCTGTCTGAAATGATCATCTGCCGAAAAATCGACTCCCATTCTGACCACCATTTTCCCGCGGGTTGAATCCAGGCTTCCACAAGCACATCGCCTCTTCCCCTTTCTGCTTGACCATGGGGACATCCGTTTTTTCCAAAAATCCAACCATCTACTGACTAGTCAACTAGTCATTACATCATTGGATCACATGACACCAGCATGAAATCACTATATTTAAGGCGCCTCTTCCCCTTGGGTTCTCCAAAATCTGGTAATCCATAGGCTTGACCAAAACTGCTTGGTGCTTTCAACCTACCCCTCTGAAAAATGATGGACTTCGTCAATGGGAAGGATGACATCCCATATATGGAAAATACTCCAGTCATGTTCCAAACCACCTAATTAGCAAAAAACGTCGATGTCCGATGATTTTCCCCATCGATTTCCGGCGATGATTTCTGGTGATGATTTCCGGTGTCCGGCCTCCTCCCCTTTCTTCTTCATGCTGCTCAGCAGCTCCAGCACCTTCTGCACCGGCGTCGCGCTGACGTCTTCCGCGCGCAGCTGGACCTTGGGTTCCACCAGATGCCTTTCTTCACCCGTGAAATGGGGCAGATTTCACCAAGGAAATCCCAGAAAAATGGAGATCTAGTTTGATGTGAAAAAATCTGATCTAAAGATGTGGTTGTATTGAAAGATGTGGATTCAGTCATGAAACAGCGTGATTTTTGAGCCCCTTTAAATGAGGATTGAGAAACACAAAATGGGATTTCATCATAGACAATGTGTATTTTTTGGGAACCAACACAAAATGGAATGGTGGATCTTTCCAGTTCGTTTTTTGTATGTTTACCAGATTTACCAGAGGGTTATGTCATCATATATCCCATTAAATCCCATTAAATCCCACTAAATCCCATTTAAATACCATTAAATCCCATTAAATCACCATCGAATCACCATTGAATCCCATTAAATTCCATTAAATGCCATTGAACCACCATAGGAAGTAGGTCTTGAAGAGTTACGCCGGCACAACTGACCGTTGAGCTGTGGATGATGGAGGCGGCCTTGAACAACTCAGCTATATCCTCGAGGTTTCCTGAAAGGGGTAGGTTGATAAGTGGTTGAAAAAACCATGGTTTATGGTAGATATAACGAACTAGTATTCATGGGGTTTTGTTATGGTTTATAAACCAACATTCACATCACTGGGGGGCCCCATCCTGTATGGAAAACTCCATGAAAAATAGCTGGGATTCTCCATGAAACCATACAGCGAGCGATCTATTGGGGTACCCCCCATGTTCCTATGGAAAGCCCATATCCCCATATACTACCCTCTGGTTATGACTAACATGGAAAGATCCACCATGCTATTAATAGGTAAACCCAGGTAAACAATCTATTTCGGGAAAACCGAAAACAAAAATCCGAGGGCCAGGCATAGCCACCTAGGAGGAGCAACAGGAAGCGCTTCATTTTGGCGCCCTGGCAGTTGAAAGCCATGGTTCCCCAAGGAAACCATGGATCTTCACTGATCTAAACGAGTTTACCCCAGGGAAACTCTATGTTTTGGGATAGATTCATATCATGATATCTTGTGGAAAAAAAAGAACTTTATAACCAACAAACATAGGGGGCCCCACCTTGTAGACTGCTTGGCGGTTTTTGCCATCCCATTTCAATAGGCTCGTCATGGAAAAATCATCCCATCTGTGTGGTTGGAAACACAAAACCACCCCCAGCCAGTAGATTTCCGAAAAACCGCCATGGATTTCCAGTTCGCTCTTTGTATGATTACTGGAGGGTACATCTAAAGAAATGCGATAAACACCCAAAAAAAATGAAGCGTTCAGCTCCAACATCGGTTTTACCCTTCAGACATTGAACTTGGCAAGAATCACCCATTGACAAATGAGTTCCCCATGAACACCTCTGGTTGGTGGTTGAGCCCTACCCCTCTGAAAATCATGGAGTGAAAGTCAGTTGGGATGATTTTTCATTCCCAACTGAATATGGAAAGTCATAAAATTCCATGGTTCCAAACCACCAACCAGACCTCCATTTATAGGGGATATCCAATTGTCATGTTTGATTTCCACACGGGATATCACAAGAAAAACCATGCAACTTGGAGCATCCCGAGAATCGGAATTCGGTTCATAACTAGAATTTTCAGCCAGTATAACCCAGTTCATGTGGTTAAAACAATGTCATTTTTACCACCCGTAACTGGGAATGGTAAGTTTATACCTACAAATTTCATGGTGACTGGGGGATGGTGCGTGCGTGCGTTTATGGCATTGTTTTTACCCACATCACAGATGGGAAAAAAAACGAGAAAAACATCATCATCGACCACCAACATCCCACCTGGACAAACCGCCGGGCAGCTGAAGTTTCAAGCCGTAAAGGCCATGGTACAGTGGATTCAAGGCGCCACAAAAATGCTGTCGATTCGACTTGGGAACCTCCCAGGATTCACGCTGGCGTAGTTTTTTTCCCTAGCCTCTGGTAAACTGTTACGTAACTATGGAAAGATCCACCATTAATGGGAAAATCCACGAACTAAATGGCCATTTTCAATAGCTTTTTGTATGTTTACCAGGCCGGGTAAATCGGCATGATCATTACAGAGGATGGAACATGTCTGAAAGCACCAAATTGGTGAAGCACCGTGCCCCGGGCTTTTTTGCGCAGAGAACTCCTGGGAGTCCTGAAGTGTCCAAAAGTTCGCCGAGATTCATTGGCACCACAGTTCTCTAAGGAAAAAACAACAAACGAAACAAGAGAAACACACATGCTGTAGACACAATCAACTTCACAATCTAATTTTTTTCAACATTCTATGGATCATTTCGCAGTACAATTCTCAAGAACTTCTCATACTCTGGTTGCCTCTACAACTCAACTGCATGCAGCAGACTGAAATTTACTCACGGCTATCTTTGGGTTTGTCTGAAATGTTTTTCTTCGGCGGGAAAACCAAGATTTTAAAAATGATTCACTTGTGGACTGAGGGGTACATAGAATCTTTTTCAGACAACACCCCTTGGATTTGTTTCTGGTTGGTGGTACGTTTTAACCATCTTGAAAAATGATGGAGTGAAAGTCAATGGGAAGGATTAAATCTTATCCCATATATGAAATGGAACATAATCCAGTCATGCTTTGACTATAATATATGGGATAATCCTTCCCATTGACTAATATTATCCCATATGGAAAAAATATATATGATATTTCCAGTCATGTTCCAAACCACCAACCATATGCATTTATTTTGGTTTTGGGTTCCCCAAGACCAGTGAGACGGACACGGATCTGTCGCCAAAAAATGAGGGATCCTCCCATCACACCTCCCATCAAACAGTGGAAGTTCAGTCGAAAAGTCTCCATGGATCAGAATCAACCGGATTTTCCATTGAAATTTACCATCATTTTTCATAACCATCTGGCTATGACATTCACAGTTCGCCATGGCTTTTCGATGGCCCTAATCGAAATAGATGGTTTACCGTTCTTAACAATGGTGGATCTTTCCATGGCTATGTAACAAATAACCAGATGGTAGACAAAAAAAAACGGCATCTTCCACATCTCGTTTTCCGCGGGTCTTATGATGTTTTCTTTGCACTTTCCAATGGCTGATTTTTTCGCAACGGAGGATTCGTTGCGTTCCGGAAATCTCTCCAAAACCGACCAAACTTAAGGTCGGTTTCAGGATGTTTGTCGCGACGCACCTTCCAATGTTTTTGGCCAAGGCCCCACGTTGTAAACAACATTGGGTACCCTCTGGTAAACTGTTACATAGTTACATAACTATGGAAAATCACCATTTTTAATGGGCAAATCAACTAACTAAATGGCAATTTTCAATAGCTATGTTAGTTTACCAGAGGGTAAATAGCATGTGGGGGTTTCCCAATGGTACCCAACAATGGATGGTTGAGGAATCATGGTTTATTTCATCTATAAATGGAGAACTGGGGGTACCCATATTTCTTTGGGGCGAGCATCCTTTTGACATGGGAGATGAATACATTAAAATCGAGGTTGGGGGCCAAAGAAGAGACGGGAATTAGGTGATATCAAGGGGTAAAGTATAACTTCAGCCTTTGATTTACAATATGATACCCTCTGGCAAACTAACATAACTATGGAAAATCACCATTTTATAGCTGGGTACCCTGGCAAACTATGAAACATCACCATTTTGATGGTGAAATCAACGAACTTTCAAGTCGATATGGCTTGCGTCTAACAATTTGGGAGGCAAACCCACCCTAAAATGTTGATGCGTCATCATCATTTTCCATGGAAAAACCATGGTACCATTTTTGGCAGATATTCAGATATACCATTTCAGACATGCCCAGAGATGTTTTCTTCATTTTTGGATATTTACCCGCTTCTTTCGAAAAAACTCCACGCATCATGAGGAGATTGCACCGGAATTCGAAACACACATGGCAAATCCTTCATGATGGATGACCCCCAAGATCGGTGTACAATCCAACTTTTGATTATAATTGAGTATATATATATATATATATCCATATATATCCATATATATATATATATGTATTATAATTATATATATATATATGTATATATATATGTACGTATGTATATATATATACCACATTGAACATATACCTGTAACTAACTTCATCATGGCACAGCACTGTTGGCTTCTGGGATGCACACATGACCGTGTTCCATGTTCTGTTCTGTCGAGGGGAAGCACCGAGCCCCTGAATTCGTCCACTTTTCAGGGACCATATACGAAGAAACAAAGTTGATCTCTTGATGGGCATTAAAGTGGGATGCGGGTCAATTTTCTCCCCCAAAAAAGGATGGCATAATAATACATAATACTCAAATTGATCTATTTTGTGAGCCCAAAAGTTTACCCTCCAGCAAACTAACATAGCTATGGAAAATGGTCGATTTATAGATCATTTACCTATTGAAATAGTGATTTCCCAGTTCGCAAAGTGTTAGTTTACCAGAGGCTACACAGTTGCATCCCAATCATTGCCAATCTTAGATACCCTGCAAAAAATGACAAATTCTTTGCTGGTGAACGTAGATATTCCCATTGAGACCAAAAGACTAGTTAGGATTAAAGTATCCATCTAAGATTGACCTAGCAGTTACATCCAGGTACATCTTCGATGCTTCCCAGCCCCAGGGAATGATGCCCAAATCCTGCGGGTCAACAGTCATTCGATGATCGTTGTTCGAAGCATTTCGCCAAGGCCGATTTTCAATCTTTGGACGTTCGTGAATAGCTGTTGACCCAATCATCACATCAAACACCAACAATTTTCATATCCGGAGATCATCAACAGTAAACGAGGTCTGGTGAGATCCACATTAAGTTCACAACCATTGCACGCAGAAATTCCCATCGTCTTCCCATCATGTTCCATTTGGGCCATGCTCAATTTTAAAGCATACCCCCTGGTAAACATACAAAAAGCTATTGAACATGGCCATAGAAATAGTGGATTTACCCATTAAAAATGGTGGATCTTTCCAGAGTTTTTTGTATGCTTACCAGAGGGTAGCTCTATTCCAGATTGTTGCTGAAAAAACACCCTGATTATTATTAATCCCATAACATTTCTAGAAAATCATTTGGTGTTATAACGTAATGTTTTCTAGAAAATAATAGGCATGTTTTGATTGTTTTGCTGAAAAAACATGTCTGAAATGCCTATTCAATCCCCAAAACATCATATATTGGTTATTATTAAGTCCCATTGTGGCGGTCCAGTGGGTCTTCCTGCTATCACATCCCCAAACAAAATCCCCAGTCTACTCCCAGAACATCTTCCATTCATGCTTTTTAGGCATTTTTGTCCATTGGCATGGTTCAATTACAATTACCACGAATTCTGATATAAAACCTTTTTTTTTTTTAAATTTATGGTAGCCTAAATCCAGTCAGTCATCATTTTCAACAGCTGGGAGATTCCCCTGTGAAAAAACACATCCAATTATACATCCCTGTGGCGATTTCACCCTATGGAAATCACAATTTTCAACCAGTAAATCATATGAACATCACGGTAAATCAATCCGGTCCATTGAAATCACCATTTCCCTATGGAAATTCAACCAGTCTATCGGCAAATCACCAGATTCAATGGACCATCGTTCCGCGTTCCGCAACAGCTGAAAAAGCGGTGCGATGAATCTCATGATCTCCGCGTGGAATCCCCATGATCTCCGCATGTTTATCGCCTATGAATTCACGGAAGCCCATCAGGTACAATAAAACATCGTCGAATTCATAATCTGGTTGGTGGTATACCAAATTCATATGCTTTAATATGGTTTAATATGGATAATAATGGGATAATAATGGGATAACAATATCATACAATATCTGGCTGGTGGTTTGAACCACCTACCCCTCTGAAAAATCATGGAGTGAGTTCGTCAGTTGGGATGATGACATTCATTCCCAACTGAACATGG